GGTCTGGGATTCTGTGATTCTGTGAGATCTTAGGTGATGGTACAGATCTCCTGCCGAACCCAAAGAGCATTGGTTAGATCTAGGCTATAATGTACGTGAGGTCTCCAAACCGTGCTGGAAGGATCAGAGCCCTGGTTGACATATCACATTATCAACATGTCCAGAGCTACCCAGATTTGATGAGCTGAAGAGCAAGTCCTAAGTTTCTGTCTGTCCCCAGCACATTAAATATTTAGGGAGGCAGAAATAGTAAAGGGAGAAATCCAAATCTCATTCATTCCTTCCTTGCTCAGGCAAGGCATGCAGTTCAGCCCTCAATAAATTGTACTGGGGGATCAGAAGAATTTCTGCCTTGGCAAGGAAACCATATTCAATAATTGAAGCATCCAGGATACGGACCATGGATTTTAGTATAAATTAGCATTAGATTCTATCTAAATCATACATCAGGAGTAAATTATCCGTCACTATAATAATCTCCTTTTGATGCCTGTATATAACTTCTATTAATATTGAAGGAGGTTACCAGGGTACAGAGAGGGAGGATGAGATTACAGTTTCAGGGAATTGAGAAAGAAATGAAATATTGAAATTGATCTGAGAAACTTGGCCCAAGCTTATAAATGTCTGAAGTTATGAATGAATCTTGTTAAATTAAATCTCCAACCACAGCCTGAAAATAATTAGGGAATCTATTTGCATTAGCAGCTTTTACAGTTGTTTTTAGTTTGTTACAAAAAATTACTGGCATTACTATGGCATTACTATTACTATTCTATCTCAATAGAAGACATGCACAGGAACACATTTTTTAGAGTAATGTGCTGAACTGGTATAAGTCATTATGTTAATGACCAAATCCAAACCCGAAATTCTGTTCTGGCTCTTCCATTGGTGTACATTTTTAAGAAATCAAATTAATCTGATTTAAACTAATCTCTTATTTACTGATGGCAAATGTAACAATGAAGTCTCATAAGAATGGTTTAGAAAATTTCCTGACTGTGTAATGGTCTTTTATGGTGAATTTTTAACATTTGAAGGTGCTCTGTTTCAAACAGGCCTACTCTATTCTCAGCAAAATCTCTGGTACGGGAACAAACCCCAAGGATTTCTCAGGTGCCTTAAACATGCACCTCAAGGAGACTGGATGCCTGCAGGAGGATGAACCCTTCAGTATTTTCTCCCAGGCTACAGGATGTTGTGGGAAAACAGCTGATTTTAAGGAAAGATGTTCCCAAACTGCTTAGTTCACGCTTTGCATATCCTGACATCCTGGAGATTGTAGATTTCTTAATTTCATGTGAACTCCTTGATAATAATCCCCAGTGAATATATTACCTTGATTTATTGAGACTTTTTCAAAAAGAAATATCTTAAAAAACAAACATGTCTTTAACACCAATTGTGAATTGGAGCTAAAGAGTAGCGCTCAGCTGTCGTATCACCTGGCTCAGGAGTCTGTGCTTGGGGACAGTTCTTTGCAGATAAGTCTGCCTTGGGTAAGAAGGTGGCACGAAGTCTGACACTTTTGCAGCGTCCCTTACTCCTGAAGGTCTCTCACACTGACGTCTAAAATGGGTCAGGTAATCAGGGATGGAAAGCATGGAATTTTTTTAGTGTGAAGGCAAGGAATGGATCCCTGTCTCAAGCAACCTCACATGTGCTAGAGATATTTAGTGACTGGAAACGGCTTTTAGAAGGAAAGGGCAGGGAGTACAGGTAAGAAGAGCCCCGAACAGCAAAACACTAATCTGAGCAAGATATATATGGTGTGCTCATATGTTTTCCCCTCTCAATTAAAGGTGGAGACAATTGGAGATGCCTATATGGTAGTAGGTGGAGTTCCTGTCCCTGTATCCACTCACGCTGAGCGAGTTGCTAACTTTGCCTTGGGGATGATAATAGCAGCTAAAGGAGTACAGAACCCAGTTTCTGGAAATCCTATCCAAGTAAGCTGTTAATGCCAAGCTGCATGTGTGTCTGTCTGCTTCTGGTAAATGTTCTGCAGTAGGACATCAAGGAGCTTCTTTTGATTCTTCTGTGACTTTGGCCCACATTAGTGCATTTCTTTCACAAAGAGCCTCTCCGTGTGGATATTTGATATTTTACTGCTGTCCAGTGTTGTGTTAGGATGAACTTTTAGGTGGCTGGATAGCATAAAGAAAGATGTTAAATAAATAACAAGTGACATTTCTGGGGGGTGTTTTATGTCTTTGTAAAGATTAGAGTTGGGATCCATACAGGTCCTGTCTTGGCTGGAGTTGTTGGAGAAAAGATGCCTCGTTATTGCTTGTTTGGAGACACGGTGAATATAGCTTCCCGGATGGAGAGCCATGGTGTCCCAAGTAAAATTCATCTAAGCTCCAGTGCCTATCAGTGAGTAACTATGATAGAAACTCTGCCTGTTAAAAGCTGTGCTGAAAAACGCAGCCTTGGCAGCTGCAGCTTTCAGATGTAGATGATGCTGTCTTTAGTCACTGATTTATGCAGCTTGCTTATAAAGAAAAATCACTGCTTCCAAAGAGTTTTATTTGTTCTGATTATTTCAAATGTGCTTTTATATGGAGACAGAGGTTTAAGAGTCTTGATTCTAGAGAGCAAAATATGGGGAAAAAAATAATTGTGATAGCTTATTTGGAGTCACCGAGAGTGACGTAGATGCTAGAAAGATGGTCAGAACATTTCATTTGACATCCTGCATAACAAAAGCTTTAAAATCTCTCTGACTGAGGACAATACTCTTTGGCAAAATTTTTATTTGCACTCAGTAAAGTTTAACGACACAAAGCACTAACTTATTCATGCAATGGGGAATTTACCTACCTAAAAGTCATGTCAATAAAAATGAAATACTACATTTTCAATAATCTTATGTATGTGTGAATGCAAGAGGTGGAAGTGAAGACAGGCTACAAAGGAGGAGTACAAAAAACGTTATCTGGGCACATAGGAATGATAATAGGAGGCCAGAGCTCAGCTAGCACTGAAATGGGCAAAGAAGGTTCAAAGGCAATAATAGGAGCTTCTGCTATGTTAGCAGAAAAGTGTAAATGGAAACATGGACCTGTTGTGGCAGGTGATTTAGTGACAGTGCCCTAAAAGGGTGAGTTACTCAAGATCTCTCTTGCCTCAGTCTTCACTGATGAAGTCTTCAAGGTCCTTGAACCTAGAGTCAGGGTTCAAGGAGCAGGTAAGGCACCAGTATTGGAAGAGAATCAGGTCAGGGACCTTTTGAGAAGTCTCGATGTACAGAAGTGTATAGGAGCAGATGGGATGCTTCCAAGAGTCATAAGAGAGCTGGGTGATAGCACTACAGTTCTGCTGTCGTCTTTGGGAGGTCGTGAAGATCAGCACTGTAGCAACTGAAAAAAGACAGATGCTAAACCAATACTGATAAAGAGCAAGGAGGAGAGGCCTGAGAACTACAGGCTTCAAAATCTCATGTCAATCCCAGTGAAAATCAAGTCCTCCTGTAAGCCGTTTTCAGACACATGAAGGCAGTGATTTGGAATAGCCAGTCTGGATTTACCAAGAGTAAATAATGCTTGATGAACCTGATCGCCTGCTCTGATGAAATGACTGTAGATCCGTCTAACCGATATTGGCTGCCTCAGTTCTTAATTTCTATGTACTGGTGAGTAAGAACCCTCCACCATACTGAAGTATTTAGCTATGTGATCCATTGATTTTTGATCAGGCTGTACGTGTAAAGCTATGAAAGCAAAGCAGGCTTGAATAAACATTTGAAACAAGACTTCAGTTGTTGACAGATCAATACTATTTTTCCCAGACTGTTGTAATTTGATTGCTTAGATCACAACAGCTCTTCTGAAACATCAGTGTAATTTTTGCTAATCTTGAATTTTCATATGTCATTTTGCTTCTGATATTTTAGATGCCTAAAATACAAGAATTTTGAGATCATCGAAAGAGGAGAAATAGAAGTAAAAGGCAAAGGGAAAATGCATACATACTTCCTCATTAGAAATAAAACTGCAACTGAGAATGAGATCATGGGAAGGCCAATAAAAGACTTAGATTCTGGACATGAATCTGTTCAATCATTTCAAGAAGGCAGGACTGAAACAATACCAAATTGTTATCAGCCAGGTAGAGTCAACTCAACATACCTGTTCCTCCGTGAACAAATGAGCATTAATACAACTCAATTAAATATCCTTTTCTGTTCTTTCAGTTACTCAGACTCAGCCAGAGAAGGACCAGACCCCAGCCATTGCAATGAAGTATATTGATGGCCCCACAGATGCACAAAGCAGCCTCAAAAGAAGAAACCAAGCAAAAATTGCAGATTTAACAGGTAGTTATTTAGTTACCATCTAGCAAAGACAACAGAACTAGGAAGTAACTGAGGTTTCATCTTACAGTTTTGTTATCTTCCTCTTCTAAATAACCACTGTTTTACTCAAGCCAGAAATTCATGCCAACATATGCGTGTTGGTTAAACTACCCATTCTGCGCAGTCTTTAGAGCCAAAAGAATTCACCCACAGAACAATTGCTGAAGTTACTTGTGCACTAGGGAGAAAGAAGCTGACGTAGCTGTCAAACTCCAGAGTCCTTCTGGCAGTGCAAACAGAACAGATAAATGTTAGATAGCTCTTCATGTGGGCAGACCCCATTGTTAGTGTACACATCTTTACCTAAGTAAGCTGCCATTATCATCTGGGGAAGCCCTTATGATCTCAAGCCTGAGAGACTTTCCTGGCTCAGTAGCATGGCAGTCCTCAAGCCAGTTCTCCTGCAGGGATTAAAAGGATTTATTGCCATGCCCATGTCCTATGATCAAAGTTCAGTCTCCTCTGAAGCAGCTGATGCTGAAAGAGGGGTAACAGATTTGGTGCTCTAACAGTCTAATCTAATACAGCCAGTCCTGTAATTCTATTGTGTATTTTGTGGATCTTATACAGATTAAATATGCTATCACTGATTACTAGAAAATATTTTACTCTCCTCCCTCCCACCTGCTTAGACATGGTAGTTAATTTAGTGTCTGGTGTGCTGACAAACAGAAACCTCTGTGGTCATTAAAAACTCATGCTGAAGGAGTGTTTCCTTTCAGGCAAAACTTACCATTTCAAAACTGATGGGAGTCTCCATGGCAACCAGCATGCAGATGATGGGACTTGTCCTCTAAACCAGGAAAGAGTCAAACCTCATACTGAAGACCCACGGATTAGAAATGTTCGCTCTAATTTTTGCACTTTGCTCTAAGTTTCTTACATTTTAGGGGAGGTTTAGATTGGATATGAGGAAGATTTTCTTCACCAAAAGGGTTGTCAAGCATTGGAACTGGCTGCCCAGGGAAGAGGTTGAGTCACCATCCCTGGGGATATTTAAAAGATGGGTAGATGTAGCACTTAGGGACGTGGCTTAGTGGTGAACTTTGCAGTGTTAGGTTTACGGTTGGACTTGATGATCTTAAAGGTCATTTCCAACCTTAACAATTGTAAGTTCTAAATTTCTCCTTCTGTCGTTCAAAATCAAGGCTACTCAATTAATAGAAACAAGCATTCTCTTTTAAGTTCTAATGCTAAATTTTACATTAAAGAGAGCAATTATATTATTATTTAGTGCATTTTGCTGTTGTGGGACTGATTTTGTATATCAAGTGCCACATGATTTTGTAAAAAGAAAAAAAAAGAAAAAAAAAAGACTTTTCATCACAGTTTACAGCAAAAAGAAAACAGTGGAGGTTTTTTTTTTTAATCAATCAACCCATGCCATCTAATACTCCCATTGGAGAAGGAAACAACCGCAAGATGCTTCAAAGATGTATTTTTCAGCCTCTACCATGTCTTTGTATATCCCTACTTAAAAAAAAATAAAATCACTTTTTGGTATCTCATGCAGCAATCAAGAAAGGGTGACTCATCCAGCTAGAAATATTCCTACTCAAATGAGCACTTGCCATAAAAGAAACATTCCCTGAAGTGACCATCTGCCTTGGCTTCAGCACAGCCAACAGCTTCCCTGCAAGGTCAGCAGTTTGATCACCATTTGACTGTGAGAGTTTGAGCTCTTCACAGGTCTTTTGTTGGAAGAAGGCATTATGCTGTAGAAGTGCAGAGCACTAATACAACCTGTGTTTTTTCCATCCTAAAGAGGCAATAGTGCATACTTTATAGCTCACAGCCGTAAAAAAACCCATCTCTGAACAAGCTGCCCATGCTGTGCTTAGATGATCATAGAAGGACATGCACGTAGTGGAATTATGTAGCATCAAATTCATCACAACACTGAAGCCTTGTTCAAGGCCTGTGAACTATTTGAGACCTTCAAATGAGTTGCAAATGTATTTCTCATTTTCTCACCCCAGCTTAAAAAAACAAAACAAAACAAAAAAACCCCAAGGTTTTGGGACTACTGAGGGAGCCTGTTGGTGCTGGAATGAATGTTGTTAACATAATTGAAAAGAACAGTTTTAAAGATCAACATCACTTACCTGTTGTCAGAGGTTCCTCAGCTCAATCACTTCCATGCTGATATATTCTTAGATTACGCCTGATCAGAAATGGCAGAGAAAAGCTGAAGTTCAGCTGTCAGGAATTTAAGATGTAAGAGCAAAAATATAGTGGATATAAAGGTTTTGGACAGTCTGGCACATCATAAATTGTCTTCTCCTGTACATGGAGCTTGGAGTAGGTGGGATGTGCATGCACTGCATGACTTTGACAGGAGCTGTGCCCACATACTGATTTTTCACCTTTGGGTGTGAATCTGTTGTCTAAGGATGCAAGCATGAGGCCCGTTTGAACTTCGAGCAAGAACTCACTGAAGAAGATGGTAACGTTACTCCTCTCTTACGGTCTGGAGCATCACATTTTCACCTCTGTGTCTGCAGCAAGTGAGGCTTTTTAAACCCCAGACAGAGAAGAGTGACTGATTTAAAGCATCTCCTCTCCAATATTATCACAAGATGAAATTTCACCTGGTTAGATTTTATTTTTACATCTCTGAGATGGTAGCTCTCTTGTCTGGATGCTCTGCAGCTCTGTTAGCAGGTAGTGAAGACCCACAGAGGAGGACATGCAGAGCGGAGCTGTCAGTGCTGTTGTCCATGCTATAAGTATTGCAGAGGACTTGCTAGTGTGGCCCCATGCACTGAATGCCTGTTAGCCTTCAAAGCACCTCGTGAGTACATCTTCTGGCTTAGTTTCAATCAGACGTGATGCACCTGTGTGCTTTGAGTGCACTCTGCAACGTAAACCAAAGTACAGTGAGTGTGTTTGACCAGGCAATCTACTCCGGAGGGTACCCGTGACTGACTGAGATGCTGGTGGAGACATACCCTTTAACTTTAGCACTTTCCACAGCACAACTAAGCAGCACCATTCTGGGAGAGTGTGGTTTTATGAATGGCGGGATTTATTTATTTATCTATCTATCCATTTATTTATTTATAAGGATTTTGCTATCTAGGCACTGTTCATTATTTTGGGACGGGTGAGATCTACTGTAGGCTGAAGATGCATCTAAGGATTGTTATTGTTGAGTATCGAGATTTTAAACATTTGACTGCATGCTCCCCTCAGACACACAATGTCTGAATTTCACCTTCTTCCTTAGTAACTCCTCCCCGCTGGTCCAGTGCTCATGGCTTTGCACTTCAGTATTATGACCATAGCTTTAAAAAGACTTTCCTAGAGAAAGACAATACCCAGTTTCTCTCTCACTTACGATGATGTAGATGGGAAGTAACTGTTAAATCAGCACTATCCCACTGATTTAAGTCAAGAATCAACTCTGATGACTTTTTTGGCTCCCACCTAAAGATGCGTTTCACTACTCTTGACCAGTCGTGCTTATGGAATGGAGACCACCTCATTTCACGAATGACAATGGTGGACTCCTTTTTTACCAGCACTTCTATGGAGATATAAAGCCATTTGGCCCCAAGCACAAGTGTGACACAGGAGTGTGCATCTCTTGGTGTCCAGTGCTGATGCAGGAGGAAGCATCTTGCTGGCTCAGCTGCTCTTTCAGCCCTGTACTTGTGTGGCTGAATACCACTGATCACCTCTCCGACAGGAAGAATTTTCAATTGGAAACTGTCCAACAAGCCAGGCCATCAGTGCATAGGGTACAGTACATATTCCAGGGTTTAACAGATATATTCCAGAGTGGTTTCAGGTAGAAGCCCAGAGCTCCTCCGAACTTGTATAGATCCTCTTGGGAAGAGGAAAGCAAAGGACCATGGCTTCATTTTTGCCTGCATCTCTCTGTACAAATTTTAACACTCACTTTGCTTATTATACCTACCTGCTTTTCACTGACCAATCTATGAATGTTTAATAATGGAATGTTTTAGTTGCCAGTAAGTGCTCCATGGTAAGTTACTTCATGCTGTACTGTGGTAAAATTCATGTGCTCAGTGGTTTCTCTGTGGCCTCTGCTACAATCTGGTTCTCCTGGAGATGCAGAGCTAAATCAAATCAGCACAACTGCTTTTAAAAATTAACGTGCCTGTGCACCATCATGTGTTCTTAAATCTGTAGGCACTGATAAAGACTGTAAAGCTATCATTAATAAATAAATCTTTCCATTCATTTACTGACTGCCATTTGTCAATGAGTACTTCAATTCCTTTCCCTCTTTTCCCATCCACCTTTTCTATTCTTTTGTCCCTGTAAGGATACAAAAACTTAAGACCATTATACCTCTAATAAACATCCCATGAGTTTAATTTCTTTACCATACACAACGTTGTATGTATCTGTGTGACATCAGAAGCAGCAGCCCACTACCACTGACATTGTCACATGCTTACTAATACGCAGCCTCAGTGTCAGTGACTTAACTACGTTGAAGTGACACAAAAAGGGTGGGAGAAGTCCCCGGGCTGCTTCACAGAAGCTGAGGCTTAGAAAACTTAAAAGCTGAGACTTTTGAAAGCTGTCTAAAGTGTATGGATTGCCAAATGCCATTAAGTCTGGCGTTCAAGCGTGAATTGTCAAAAGCTCGGGTACCTTAATGGTCTAGGGGCCAGATTTTTTCAAAAATGCTTTTTGTTACTTTGCTAAGTGAAATCAACTGGATTCAGGCACTTAACTGAGCACATGTGCAATGTCTAGTTTCTGACAATGAAGCTTTCTTTAAAGCATTTAAAAAGCACTTCCCTGTAAATGCCTTCTGAAACGGACTGGTCAGTAAACTTTCCAAGCTGCAACCTCATTTGCTGGAAGTCCTTGTTCCATTACTTCTGACATTACGAAGCAACTCTATGTAGACCCAAGCTGAACAGAAAAATCCGCAAATAAAATAGCAGTGAAATTGAAATTATTACTTCATTGGTGAGAATATATTAAAAATGTTTGAGTATAGAAAACATAGCGGATTTCAGAATGCAAAAATGAGTACAGTTTATTATACAAGTATACAACATCATGGAAAATCCAGAAGGGCTTTTTCCCACCAAGTCTCTGCTTTCAATTCTGAATGCTCAAGAGTTTAAGAGTAGACAATTATATTAAAATTGCCCTTAAAGTTATCGGTACAAATATCTACTGTTCATGCATTCTCTATCCAATCATCAGTGCTGCCTGTACATAAAGATATAGCAACATACAGTATTTTTGGTCCATAAATACCTGTAATCAAAATAAACACGTAGAAGTTAAGTTCTTTACTGAGAGGGTCGTCAGAAGCTGGACCAGGCTGCCCAGGGAGGTGGTGGAGTCACCATCCCTGGATGTGTTTAAAGAGCGGGTAGATGAGGTACTTAAGGATATGGTTTAGGGGGTAGACAGGAGCGGTTGGACGTGATGATCTCAGAGGGCTTTTCCAACCGAGCGATTCTGTGATTCTGTGAACACTATCTTTACTTATATGAATAGAGCTAGGAAGTGCTTCTCATTTTTCACAAGCAGTCTGTAGTTCTCACTCACATTTACTTTGCACCCATTTGCTGAATGACTTGCGATCCAAACCATGTTCAGAAGACATTCCTGAAAAATTCTGATACTAAAAATTCTTCCTCTTACAACTTGATGTATGGTCTCTAGGCTCTGACCGGATGAACACACGAAGTCAGAAACAGATTTGTAGTCACATTTGCATATTAATTAATACTTATTTTCCCCTGCGCTCCCTTAGAGGTGAATCTAAAATGGACATAAACAGCCATTGCCAAGCTTTGCAGAAATTCAGAGTAATGTTAAGTAGGCGTTAGAGGGTCAGGTAACTTTGCTATGTTAGTATTGAGAAGTTTTAAA